GAGGTTCCTAAGTGATCAGGCAACTTGGCCAGGCAAAGCACATTAAAATGGATAAAGGGATTTCCTGACAGTATAAATACCTGCACACGACTTCCCTGTGCACCATAACCCATGTTATGTATATATGCAAGGGAAAGTGGTAGCAATCGAATCCGGACTGCTGGGAACTGCATAGGGTAGACTTGGGAGAAAAGCAAGGCAAGGCATCTCTTCGTTCTTCCTTTTCTGTTTGCTTGTGGGAATGAGTTGTCAAGCCTTTCCTTCAGCTGACACCTTCATCCCTTTGAATTCAGACTCGTCACCCTCTCTGCCTCTGATAATGCATCACAGTGCTGCAGAGTGCTTGCCCGTCTCCAATCATGCCACCAATGTGGTCTCAACAGGTACTTTTTTTTATTCTATCAGTGTTGCTCTTCTCAATGTGCCATGCCTTGGCATCTTTCATATGCTATGAAAGACCTTGAAGGAAAAACTTTTTAAAGAGATCAGGTTTTCTGAGTAAATAATTCAAACTAAAACTACCAGCGTGCCAGGTTTAATTGCGTATGGTGTAGTCGTTGTTTTTTTAATTGCCACATTAGCTTTCCAGTAAAATCTTCACAATGGCGAAGCTGGATCATCATAATGCATCATCAAAAGGCTGGTGTCTTATTTACTTATCTGAGGTCGTATTTCTTTAAAGTGTTTCTTAAATGTTTCAACAGATGATTCCAGGGTGGTGTACAAACGTGTGAATAAAATCAATTCACACAACGTACAAAATTTAAAACCATTTAAAAACAAGACGAAACATAAATCCAAAATGGTAAAAGCGTATCACAGTTCCTAAAACCATTTACAATCTAAAATGTCTCATTTCCTACTTCTCAAAAATTCATACTAAAGAATGGGAAGATGCATTATATGAAGTGGAAAATAAAACCAACCAGTTTGAACATATGCCAGCACTAAAAATCTAAGGGGATACAAATATTAACCAATCTAATAAATCCTGTTTTCAGTTGCATGTCTTAGTATGGCATTATTAACAATTAATTTTCATTTGGACTCTTCCATATGACATTGTATTTTTGTTGTTGCTGCTGCTCTAGGTGGTGGTATATTCTGCAACATGTAATTGACTCATTTATACTGAATTTGTGGTGGTTTATATTGGAGCATCCACACATCCTTCTGCTTTATTAGTTGTTCTGCAATGCTTCCCCAATGTTACTGCATTATTGTCATCTGGAGCTACACATCTTGAACAAGAGTGCTATAAAAGCTATCTGGGAGTGAAAAACAAAAAACAACTTGGAATGTTTGTGGTATAAAAAATTGAAGGATTTTAGCAGGAACATGCACTGTTTGGGAACAGAAGAGTTTGTCTGCCTCCAAAAGCTTTGCAAACACAAACAGTATTGAAAGTGGGATTGTATGTATAACCTCCCAGATACCAAATAATCATGAAAGCACAATAAAAAGGATGCTTGGAAGGGCCCTTAGAGTTGATCAAAAGCATCAATTTATTCCAAGTGGCGTGAAATGACATTTCAACCTTAAATAAAATCATTTGTATGCCCATTTTTTCAAACTCCAGTATGTGTGTTTAAGCAGAAGTGAAAACAGAGTCAGAAAAAGCTGCTACCTAAAACCCAGGGAGGGGCACAGGGAGTGGGAATTAATCTATATTGAAGGTACATCAAAAAGAGTTTTCACCAACCAATAAAAGTTTGATAAGGAAGGAGCCAACAAGCCTCCTAGAGGGAATTCCATAGTCTGGGCTGCAACCATAGATACTCTGTCCCATTTTCCTACCACCAGCATGTCTGAACCCAGCTGGGAATGGCCTCAAAGATCTCAGAAATTGGGTATGATCGCACGATGATCCTTAAAACACCTTGGTCCTAAATCTTTAAAGGCAGTATTTGACACTTTGAACTGGGATTGGAAACACAGCTGTATCCAAGGTCAGCCTAAACAGGAAAAGTGGGCCATGGGTTCTGAACTTTCTGCCACATCTGCATTTGTCTCAAGTCATACTTTCAAACACTTGCAAGGTTTTATATAACCTGCCAGAGAGTTCACAGTTTCAGAATAATTTTTTCGAAATAAGAATTGTTTGAAGAAGCCAGAATTAGGTTTGAGGGCTACCTTGGCAAAGTTCTACCTGGTCAACCTCGACTTCACCAATGTCTTCCCCACTAACACTACCACCCCCTCCAAATAATTTTCTGGTAGTTGTGGACTCACAACTAAATGCTGCAGTATGGTCCCAGTGACTGGCCATGCCACATCAACAACAATAAGGCAGACCACTCAGAAGGAGGCAGAGGATGCCTTGTGCTGGTTTAGAATAATAGATGCTCCTTGGGAAGGCAGGGAAATATGATTTTTAAGGTAGAGATCCATGTCCCATTGACAGAGGCTTTTGTGTGGCGTTCCTTCATCGCTCCACATCTGGTTTCTCCCAAATGAGTTATATCAGTGATGCATGAAAGTCATTGTGCTCAGAAACTGCTACTCTCTCGTCTGCCCTGCAGGCAATTTAAGCCAGGCTCTTTTCAGTTCCTTAGGTTTTCTGTGACTTCAAGAGCTCTCCGTTTTTAATTTCAGAGAAGCATCAAGATGTGTATTAAAGCAGATGACCCTGAAAGTATATTATACTGTATCCAACTATTTCAAAGATCATTAAGTTAAAACTTTTTTTTCTGTTACATGGGAGAAAACCAATTTGTGGATTCAAAAGAAATGAAGAAAGAAGCAGAACGCTGCGCTGCCATTTTAATTTAATGTGAAATAGAATCCTTCCAGGAATATAATTCATTTCTATTTCAATGCCTTAAAACAAGAACTGTGGCTGAAAGAATGAAAATCAAAAACGGCTTGGCACACAGTGATTTATTTGCAATGCATAACCCCCCTGCCACACACATAGACACATATGCTTTTTTAAAATTTTGTGAATAGTTCATACTGTGGACTTTCGACCAGCCTGCCAGATAAGGACTGGCCTGTGATTAGTACAGAACTATATTGAAACTTGCATGTGTGATATTTAACAACTGGTTCTGTTTTGAAGTAAAACTGAATGCACTGATTTGCTGGCAAGGGAATTCCTTCTGTGTAAAATGGAATCAAACCAAAGAACAATGGGTATATTTGACTAACGCAGAAGCCATTCATAGTTCAAGAAGTAGTCAAATGTTCCTTTGATTCCTTTATCATCTGCCCACATCAGACTTGGCTATTTAAAAAAAAAAGAGAAGTTTTATTTTGTAAAATTTACACGATAAAATAAAATCTCATAAGCATAATTGATATTTTATGTGTCAAGCTTTTCAGTAATCACTATAACTAGCACACGATGGCCTACATTTACTGGACTTCTGTTCCACCTGCTTTCAACAACTTTGTCCTGCATGGTAAATCTGAGGTGCGTTGAAAGCTGGGTGCATGTAGTTGCTTTCCCTGAATGTACAGCTCAAATTTATGCACTTTCTTAAGATGCTCTCCAAAAGATAGAGTATAGACTCAAGACAGATCCAAAATGTGAATATAATATATTATTTATATTATACCTGGAGCACCACTTGTTTATTTCATAACATTTGTACACAACTTGATTGTAAAAAAAAGAAAAGAACAAGCTCAGAGCAGTTTACAAAAAGATAAAACAATAAAATAAAGGGGGAAAATTACAACCATACTTTTAAAGCATATAAATAGAAGGTAAAATACTAAAGCTGAGTAAAATTAACTCCACTTTCTTAGTGTCTGGGTAGGCTTGTCGAAACAGGAATTTGTTTAGCAGGCACCAAACATAGAAGAGTGAAGGCACCTGCTTCATCTCAACAGGCAGGAAGTTCCAAAGTGTAGATGCTGCCACACTAAACAGGTCTTGTGTGACACCCGTAGTGGTGCTAATTCTTCAACTGAAGAGGTCAAATGAGCACATGTGGGGCAAGGCAATTCTAGTACACTGGTCCCAAGTTGTTAAGGGCATAGCTGTCAACTTTTCCCTTTTTTTAAGGGAAATTCCCTTATTCTGAATAGGATTCCTCGCAAGAAAAGGGAAAAGTTGACAGCTTTTATGGTTAAGGGTATAGTATGTCAGTTTGCATTTCTTGGTGCAGAAAGTATTGATCTGATGTGTAGAGATCTTTCCTATTCTAATTAATTCAAGAGGGTTCTGGAAGCTTCTCTGTGTGGAAGAAACAAGTAGGAAGTTCCTGATGTTTTGGGTTATTCCTTCAGAGAAGCTGAGTATAGCTGGCTTAAAATGGTTCTCTCATCTTTTCAGTCAAGGTCATGCTGACTATAAAAGTAGGGCCAGAAGGAGCCTGCGTTTCACTTTCTCTTTCTATCTCTTTTCCTTCTGGTGTGGTGTTCTGTACATAGCATGCTTAGTGTTAAGGTTTTAGACTTATTATAAGTCATTGTAAGTTAATTTAAGTCTGCTGCAGCTGGATTTCTTATGGACAGCGCCAATCCTGAATGTATTGGATTTGTGACCATTATGCTCATTTGCCTTCAGGAGCAGTAAAGCTCGGCTGGATGAAATATTAATTGCCTCTGGTCTATTTTGGGGGGTAATCCTGCAACATGTTTAAGGTTTTACTCTGCTAACTATACATTGGAATCTATTCTGGGTCAATATTGAGTAGAATTTCAATGACATACAGTGGTACCTTGGGTTAAATACTTAATTCGTTCTGGAGGTCCGTACTTAACCTGAAACTGTTCTTAACCTGAAGCACCACTTTAGCTAATGGGGCCTCCTGCTGCCGCTGCGCCGCCGAAACACGATTTCTGTTCTCATCCTGAAGCAAAGTTCTTAAGCTGAAGCACTATTTCTAGGTTAGCGGAGTCTGTAACCTGAAGCGTATGTAACCTGAGGTACCACTGTAGTATACTTTGATTGGGTTGAAAGGATGATCTTCGGGTCCTTATGCATGTTCTTACCGGTCTCCTCTGTTTTGTTAACCCCAACCCCTAAATCTTCCTCCATATGCCTCTCCATGCCGACACTGGCAAATGTTCTATCAGGTCTGCATTATTCCATCCCTTCCTGCCATTATGGAAACCAGCAAGCTGCCTACGGCGTGATGGCAGGTAAGAAATGTTCCCTTAAAACCAGTGGGCCCATAAAGTGGGGGGGGATACATCTGTAACTAATTCAGTTTGTCTCAACTGAAATGGTATTACTGCACTCTCAACTTCCCCTCCCCCTTTTTACCCAGGTATCAAGCCTGCAGGTCCAGATATGCTGGCAGCCAGCCTCTCTCAAAGCCGCATTTTGCAGACCTGCAGTATGCCCCATCCTAACATTGTGAATGGTGTTGGCACATTGCAAGGCAAGTCTGTCCTGTTTCATTTTGTTTTGTTTCCCCTAACTGATTAACCTTATTACATAAAAGACTTCAGTGCCTGAGAGGCATTCCTGTAACAGCGGTAGTTCAAAATCAAAAGGAGCAGGGTTTAAATCTTAATTGCCATTTAAAAACGATGAAAAGCCATACAGAATCGGGATGACTAAAAGAGACCTTGTGGTTGGAGCTAGTCATCATCATCGGGAATGAATGAATGAATGAATGAATCTTTATTTGCATCAGCCATCGGCCATAGCAATAAAACAACAGTACGATATACAAAGAATGAAAATAAACAGACAATTATATAAAATGCATTTTAGGGTTTATAATCAATAGTCAAATAGTGGATCTTATTCTGATTGCCCCAGCTAAAAACCTTGCAACCATTGCTGTCACCTGCTCATCTTGATCTGCCAAGAGAAAGGACACTGTAGCAGTGGTTGGGCGACCCGGAATGGACAATAAAAGAGGGGTGATGATCTCATTCCTCAAGTCTTTATAAAGAGTGCAAGCCAGAAGGGCATGCACCACCGATTCAGTACTGCCATCTCCACAGGGACATAAGTGTTTTTCATATTGAATCTGTTGGAATTGTCCCTCAAGTACAGCCATTTAGAAACGATGAAAAGCCACACAGAATGAGGATGACTAAAAGGGACCTTGTGGTAGGAGCTAGTCATCTTCATCAGGAGGGAATTCTGCAAGCTCAGGAGCTGCCCCAGAAAAGGCCCCTTCTTGTCTATTCACTAACCAAATCTATTTTTCTGGTGGGAGATACGAAAGGACTTCTTAGCCTGTGGAAAGGTTCATATAGGAAGAGATAGTGTTTCAGATAGCCTGGCCCTCAGCTTTTTAGGGTTTTAGCACCTTTAGTGGGCTTGGAAGCAAACTGGGAAGCCAGCACAGTCTATTTGTTTATTCATTTCCAATATTTATAGGCCACTTTTCACCACAGAGGGCCACAGAACAGTTTACAGAACAATCAATAACACCAGTGGACATAAGACCTGGGTAATATGAAACAAGAATAAGCTATTAAGACTTCAATCCCATGCAACTTACCTGGGAGTGTGTCCCATTGATCTTGGTGAGGCTTACTTCTGAGTAAAAGTCTGTCTAGGATTGCACTGCTGCTAAATGATGTGAGCTAGGAAATTATAGCATTTGTTTTTGTTCTCCAACAGGTAGCCTCACCCCTTGCCTTTATAAATTCCCTGACCATGCGCTGAGTGCCAGTTCATGTGCTCTGGGCCACAGCTTTCCTTCCATGCACCCCTCCATCCTTGGAGATGACTCAGTCACTGATTTTAAGCAGGAATTCCGCAAGAAGAACAAGTCAATCGAAGAACCAATAGACATGGATTCTCCTGAAATCAGGGAGCTAGAAAAGTTTGCCAACGAATTCAAGCTGAGAAGAATTAAGCTGGGTATGTGACTCATTTAACTAAAGATGTTAGGAGATTTTTAAAAGAATCTTTTGTTTATGCTAAAGCGACAAATGCATGGATTGTGGCAGACTGATAATGATAAAATGGTCAACTTTCAGCAGCAGAGTAGAAAGGGCAGTGTGAAAGGTCCATGTCTAAGTACTACTGCAAATGAACTGGGTTTTTACCCAATACTGGAGTTTTTCAAGCCTCCCACATTCTTCAAAAATGGTGCACTGATATAAATGATCCTATGCAGGAAATCTAAATGTGAATGTCTTTTCTGAGTAGTAGGAAATGTATAGCACAAGCCTTATATAGTGCAAGGATAACTCCCAGGCTCCCTTTTTAGTTTGCCTGCTTCTGTGTTAAAATTAAAACATTTTATTTTGTACAAGCAACAGGGAGTCTTGTGACAGCTTAAAAACAAAGAAATTTACTTTGGCATAACTTTTGTGGCATGTGGTGCATAAAGTGGCTGTAGATGCATTAAGCATTATCCATAGATGCAGAATCATCCTATTTACTGATCTCACTGAGGTCAGAAGAAAAAAAAAAGCAGAGAGGTACAGGGAGTGCGAATTATGGCATTACCAGTGGCCATTCATGTAAAGTTGATAATTTGGACAGCCTGGCATTGGTTAGCTAATTAGCAAATGCAGTCTCCAAGGTGACACAGGATTCTTTGTTATTTTTGCAGCCACAGATTAATGGCTTCCCCACTGGAAAACCTTTTCTGTGTCTGATTGGTGTGAAATCAAAATCAGGTTTTATTAAATGAAAGAAAAATTCCGGAAGAGCTTCAAAATCATCAGTGTATGCATATATATAGGTGGGTGAGTGGATGTGTAGACAGATAAATAGATAGGTGGAGAAAGTGTTCCTATGCCAGCATCTTTCCCTGAGCTTGTAGGGTTGTTTTCTTTTGGCAGGTTATACCCAAACTAATGTTGGAGAGGCTTTGGCTGCCGTGCATGGCTCTGAGTTCAGCCAAACAACTATTTGCCGGTTTGAAAACTTGCAGCTGAGCTTCAAGAATGCTTGCAAACTAAAATCCATCCTAACCAAGTGGCTGGAGGAAGCAGAACAAGTAGGAGGTATAACCCAAAATTCCACGGCTCTTCTTAAAGGAGATTTCCTTGCTTGTGTGCATTGAAACTGATGTGGAGCAGAGAACAGGCCTGCTCCAGCAACCCCTTTAGCACGTTTAGTCAAGGGAGGAAGCAGGATTGTTCCCTCTAGCTCTGTCCCAGGTGCCAATGAACCAGGTGACAAAGCGCCCCCTGGGTCTTAGGTGTGGGTCCTATTTTGAAATCACTGAAATGTGAGTGTTTAGTTCACAGGAATGGCAGGTCGCAATAGCGTTTGATACTGTGCATGTTATCATTGGAAGTCGCTTTCTCTCACAATGTTCTGTTCTGCAGCTTTATACAATGAAAAAGTTGGAGTGAATGAGCGGAAAAGGAAACGCAGAACAACCATAAGGTAATGCGGCTGGATGCTGAACTGGGCTTTTCAGCTTTGGGAAACGCAGGCAGTCAGCCCTTGAGTATTCCCACCTGTAGGAATAGCCTCCTGAGGCTGCCATCCTACATACCAGGGGTTAGGGACTTTGGGTCCAGGGGCAAAAGGCAGCCTACCTGGTCTTTCTAGCCAGCCCTCAAGACTTTCCCCACATGTCCCCTAGGATGAACCCCCAATGGCCCTGCTCTATGCCACCCATGGGTGCTTTTGCGCGTCTTACTCATCTGGATGGATGATGGAGGGGTGTGTAAACTTCTGACTCTTGTGTGGCTAGAATGTAGCCTCCTGTGGAAAGGTAAGAGTCTTCCCATTGGCCCACTATTGCCTCGGGCCCGGCCCACTAATGCAATGCAGCCCTTAGGCACAAAGAGGGGACCCTTCCCTGCTATAAAACACTTGTCTGAGGCTAAGAACCTAGAATCATAGAATTGTATAGTTAGAAAGCCCCCCACCCCTGGTGGCTTGTAGAATTAGGCTGCTTAGCTTTTTTCCCTTTAGTTGTTTTGTTAATAAGTGTTTTATAGACGATGGTTGCTTTGCTGATGATTTGTAATTGTTTTACGGGCGATCTGTTAATTATTCTACGTGATTTATGTTGTAATTGTGATGGTCTGTTATGTTGTTTATTGTTTTAAGCCACTTTGTGATTCACATAAGTGAAAAGTGGCATAGAAATATAATGATTGAATGACCCTGAGGGTCATCTAGTGCAACCGAATCCTGCCCACAGCCTTCCCTGGGTGGGCTCGAACCAACAACCTTCTGGTTAATAGCCAGATGCCCTGACCCATTGCATCACTTCCAAATACACATGTATAGGATTGCCTTGTTAATTACATATACAGTCCTTATATTTGGTTGGGGGGGGGTGAGGTCCAAAACATCACACTATTTTCCTCCATATATCTAGTTACAGGTAGGCAGCCGTGTTGGTCTGCCGTAGTCAAAACAAAATAAAAAAATTCCTTCCAGTAGAACATAAGTTTGTTATTGGTATGAGCTTTCGTGTGCATGTTATCTGAAGGAGTGTGCATGCATATGAAAGCTCATACCAATAACAAACTTAGTTGGTCTCTAAGGTACTACTGAAAGAAATTTTTTTATTTTGTTCTTCCATATACTTCCAGTTGAGTTTATGGTCCCTTTAAAAGACCCGTGCTAATTCAATCTTCTACGATTTTGAATCGATAAAAACCACAAAGTTTTGTTCTACTCCACCACCCTGCCGATACTGATACACCCACACCCACCCACCTATTCCTGGCTTGTTTAACCTCTGCAACACAAATACATTGCAAAGTACAACTTCTCTAAAAAGAAACCCTGAAAAGGGAACGTACCATCCCGGCTGTTTTGCATCAGAATCCTACCTGCTCTGCTCAGCCCCTTTCATGTCAAACATAAAGTATAATGCTGCCCCCTTGTGGTCAAAATTAAAAATTGTTCCGCTACGGAGGGAATTGTTTTTTGTTATCCCACTTGGCTTTAAAAGAAATATACCCAGGCTACAAATGACATGTGGATGTCATACTTTTTTCCCTGTCATGTATGTGAAACGCCTTGCATGAACTGGCCCATAGCTTCCATGCAGCCTGAGATACCAAGGATATGATCGAATTGTTATGGTTCTCCTTTCTAGCATTGCAGCCAAAGAAGCTCTCGAGAGCCATTTTGCAGAACAAAGCAAGCCCTCATCTCAGGAGATCATGAGGATGGCCGAGGGGCTCAATCTGGAGAAGGAAGTGGTGAGGGTCTGGTTCTGCAACAGAAGGCAAAGAGAGAAGAGAGTGAAGACCAGTTTGCACCAGAACACCTTCAATTCCATGATTAAGGACCACCAAGAGTGCCACTAGACTTTCTTGGAGTGAAGAGGGGTTTTTAGACAGCAATACTTTGAAAACTGGACTCCCTCCTTCCCCCCACCCCCCCAGGAAAAGAAACAGACATAAATGCAGGGCATGTAATGCTCACCACTTTTACAAGTTAGTCAAGCTGAATGATAAATAATTCTAGGGGTGCTTCATTTAAATACTGTGCAGTTAATACAGCCTAGCGCAGAAGCACCTTGTGCATTTTAGTAATGCCAAACATCGAAAATAGGCAAAGCAGGAATGAAGACTGCTTGGCCTATTTTAATACCACTATCTATAGTATCGGAGGGTGATGATGACTCCTATGGGTGCAGAATGCAGAAGTTAGGTGGTTAGATATTCACCTTTAAAGGGTGAACACTACTTGCATATTTTGGAGGGGGTGTTCTCACACATCCAAGTGCTTTGCTTTCTTTATTTTAGGCTAAAATCTTTTACTTAGTTGTTCACTGCTGCCACCATGTATCTAAATATCAAGTTAATTATATATACCATTTTTTTACCCACCAGTAGCTAGCTATGGATCAGCGTGGTACAAAACAGCACTGGCTCCATTTCAAAGTAAAAGGCAGAGTAACTTATTATTTATTTTAAGTATAAACAGCTGAGGATCTTAGCTTGTGTAGATACTATATGTTGATCTGTACATTAGGGTTACCAGACATCCCCATTTCCCGGGGACAGTCCCTGAATTTGCGAATAAGTCCCCGGACAAATTCCATCCCCGGGATGTCCCCGGATTTCATCTAATGTCCTCAGGAAACACAGCAGCGGCAGTCTCAGCAACCCAGAGCAGTCTGCTCTGGCTGGCTTCAGGAGCTGCTTGGAAGTCCCCATATGATGGTGGTGCAGGGGCTCTAAGATGCAACTTCCGGGCTGCCTCCACCTTCCCTCTGAAATACAGTGTGAAGCTTCGCTTCCCAGCTGAGGGATCCCCACCCCTCCTGCTTGCACGCAAGTAGGAATGGGATTGGGGATGCTCCGATGGAAAGGGAGGCATCGCGCTGCCCGAGCCTTGCTGCTGCTGCCACTCTTGGCCCTCCTGCTCCGTCTTGTATGCCTGACCCACTGCACACTGCTTCCCCACCACCACCGAAGAACGAACAACTCAGGGGCTGCCCAGGCTCATGGAGAAAGGAGATAGAAGCCTCAGAGGAAGGGGAAACGTGGCGGTTGAGGTCAAGGCGGCAGCCGCCCCTCTGCCACCGCCATCGTTGCAGCATCAATGTCCCAAACATGTAGTAATTAATTAATTAATTAATTAATTAAAGTGTCCCTGGATTCATTGAAAAAAAATCTGGTAACCTTACTGTACATGGTTTACTGTTTAACTCAGAATGGTTACAGCTAAAGTTACTGCTTCTTTAAGAAGAAGAAACTGAGAGATTTAATTTATCCCCTATGGTCAGTTTCCCTAAACCGCTCCAACCCAGTTAATATTCATCCATCTAGGTGTGAAGAACTACACTTGCAGTCAAAACACCAAGGCTGCAGGCTGCACCCACATTGCTGCTGCTCAAATTTGTGCCTCCAATAATCCCTTGTCTGTTGAAACACGCAGGTGGGGAGGGGGTTTCTGTCACTTGTAATCTGCATTTCAGAAATTCCCTAGATCCTGAAATGTAAGCTCCAAAACTTACACTGAGATCCACAGACTAGAAAAACGTCATTTAACTTATACCAGCCTAATCAGTTTGGACAGAGATTGAGATGGAAGGGATATTTAAAAGCCTGAGGTTATGGGGAAATTCTGCTGACATCTATATGCTGTAGTCCTTTAATCCAAATACTCTCATTAGCGCCCTAGACATTAATTGAACTGGCTAAATAAGTTACAGCATGAAGCCTTTTCCTCTGCAAGAATGAGATTTCATAGGAGGGGAGGAAAAGATGACAGGAATCAAGGGATTTCAGAGGGGGGATGAAAAAAACTGTCAGCTCCGACTGGGGCAGGCTTATCGGTGGCATTGATGAGGACTCTCCTAGTTGACAGGATCCTTAAACCTAAAAGCTCCTTAAAGCAGCTGTCGCCTAATGAGCAGTTTTAGCAAACAGTGAGGGGCCTGCTGGTTAAAATATTGCCAAGAACTTTTAATATGGGAAAGGCTTATAGGCAGGCATTATCTAACATCTGCATTCTGTACATTCATCTTTAAAGCTACTTCACTCTACCTTTGCATTTTGATTTTTTGCTTTGTGAAGTCCAGCCAGGATTAAAAGCTTGCTGTTACCAAAAGGTAGTTGGCCCAATGAGAGGTATTCCTTAAACTACATTGGAATAAACATGGCAATTACCTCTATCCTGGCTTATACAGGGAAGCCAGTAATGTATTAGTTTAGAGGCCTCATCCTAAAAATGAAAGGATCATGCTAAAGCACCAGGTACTATAGGGGGTCTCTAACTGGGACCTTTATTAATAAGCTAGACGGCTTGTGACCCACATCTTGGAAATGACCATAGCACAGAATGGGAAACGCACATGGCTTGCTACAAACAAGCATTTGGCAATCAACAAAAAACACAATTTTTTATTTTGTTGCATTTGGATCCCACATTCTTCTCCAAGGAGCACAAGGTAGAGTCATAGAATTGTAGAGTTGGGTCATTCAGTCCAACCCCCTGCAATGCAGGAATCTGTTGCCCAACATGGTTCTCAAGCCTATGACCCTGAGGTTAAGAGTCTCATGCTCTATCGACTGAGCTATGCCTGTGGTTCTCCCCCTTCTCATTTAATAATGGCCTGGTTCACGTCACTTCAAACCATAGTTTAAACCAGGCATAGGCAAACTCAGCCCACCAGATGTTTTGGGACTACAACTCCCATCATCCCTGACCACTGGTCCTGTTAGCTAGGAATGATGGGAGTTGTAGTTCCCAAACATCTGGAGGGCCGAGTTTGCCTATGCCTGGTTTAAAATAATTGCGGTGGGAAAACAGCATCCAGACAAGGTTAAGGGAAAGATTCTGATCATCCACCACAGGCCATTTTGACAGGAGGGTGGAGCCTTCCACTTGTCAATCCCGACATCATAATCACAAGGTGACCTATCGCCTGCCTGCCTGCCTATCTATCTATCTATCATTGCAGGCATGGCTTGAGTTGTGCCTTCAGAGGCAGATCCTTTGCATCACCAACTTCACTTCAAGCCAGCATTGCAAATGAATGAGTGTGCTCATAGCAAGCTGTTTTGGAGCTTGCTATGAAGTGCCAATCCCAGCAGGGTTGCTGAAAGCGCCAGTCATCAGCTGGTTGGTGCTTGCCCAGGAACAGTGAGGAGTGCACTTTAAAAAGCCCACCTGTTCCTTTGCAGCTGTGTCTCCACACCCTGATAGTAGGTGTGTTTGGGTGTGGTTCAAGGAAAACTGCTTTTCAGACCAAATTGTGGCCTGGCAAACTGGCAGTTCTTCAGCCCTAGTTTAATATGATGTGTGAACCACCTCAATGTGAATTAAAACAAAAGTTGTGTCATCTGTATATTGTTCAATGGATAAACAAGCATCAGGAATTGTTGGAAAACACAGCATCATTGCCAAGCTGCGTAATGTTTGTTTTGCTGTGTAATTTCTTCTGTAGTATATCAGCCAGTTTAAAACTTTCGGCATGGCATACAGTACTTCTACATTTTTGTTATTTGACAGGGTGGAAGCCTAAGATAAAACACGTTTTTGGCAAGAACAGGAATTGCAATATACATGTTTTGATATCTATCACTTCTGTTGTCCTGGTATTATTTATCTAGCGTTTTTTTCTTTCAAAATTGCAGTACAGCTACACTTCTAGCTGCTATTGAATGAATTTGATGCTCCAGCTTCCATTTTATGGTGAGCAACACACCGTTCAGAAATAAAATTCTGCTAGGAAACCCATACTTTTAGCAGCTGCCTGACACACATGCATAGTAGCAGCTTTCTTCCCAAAAACGATGACAACTGTGAAGGAAGAGAGTTGAAACTCTTAGATCTAGCATTAGAGAAACTGAAACGGAGGCAGCACTCAGTTAACTACTGCCTCATTTAGGAGGCATTCCTTCATTCCATTCCCTCTCTCAAATGTTTTTATTCAGCACCCACCATTGACAAAACATTTTCAAGTATTGATTGTCCAGCTTTAGTTGGGCAGCATTTGTAATACTTTATCTTTCCCACTTGAGTAGATGAATTACTTTTTCACTGGTCATTAGCATTAGCCTAACTTTCTCTACAAAAACACAAGAATTCTTGGCTACATTTACATTTTGAGTAATACCAAAGCTATGAACGCATATCGGTTAGTTTTCTTTATGCCTCTTTCACAGCCCAGTCCTAACCCTCTCCTTTTCAATTCAGCAGGGCTTACTCTCAGGTAAGTGGGATTAGGGTTGCAGCCACAGCCATTCAGGGCAACCCAAACCCAAGCTGGGCAGCAGCGGAACATGATCGAGCCGTGAAGCCACCATCTCTGTGGCCCTGTCACTCATTCTGGTGGACACCTGCTGGCTACACAAGTCCTGGATTGGACTCAATGCTGCTAAGAGATGGGAGTGGGGTTGACTTGGAATCCAGTGGATCCTCAGCTGCTGCCTCACATTTAAGGTGCATTTCAGGGCTTTCCACAGGCTACTGCTGGCAGGAAATCACAAGCAGTCCAAAAAGTATTGTTGTCATCACCCTGCTGGCAGAACAAGGAAGAGGGAAACCTCTGCCACATCCAATACACACACCCCAGTTCAGCACTTTGGGGATTTGGATTGCATCCTTAATCACTGACTAGTGGATGCGTTTAGTATTTTTTTAAAAACTATTTTTAAAAAAAATCCAACAGAAAAATGGCACTCAAGGAGCTAAAAGCTTTTATTTGATTTTTACAAAATCCATAAAAAGGAGATCTTGCTGAAGGTAGCCACATAGAGTCTATTTTATGCAATTACAAAACCAAATTGTAAACCAAATTGTGTATGTACTTGATTGCTTTGATCCTATGTTTAACCAGAAAAATCATAATTCTATACTAAAATGAAGACCTAGGCTGCTGTTGCCTTATTCCTATGGCGTATCTTGTGAGCTGATAGTCACAGTAATTACTTTCTTTTTCTGTTCTTCATAAACAATCAGCAGACATTTTCTTGTTAATTTACATTCTCACAATTAGTACCAGGGCCACGAAGAAGTTCAGGAACAGAAATCCCCTTTCACAACTGGCAGTAATTCACAATGTGAATTATGTTCCCTATAATACATCAAGTTACCCACTGTTTTACTATATTAGGCGCAATTTTATAACCAAGTGAACCTATTTCCTTTAAATAGTCAAGCATACATAATTCCAATTAGTGTGTAACAACTGGATATAAAACAGAACAAACATACTATATGGACAATAAAGTATATTTTCAAAGGTAACACTTGTTCAATGAAAAAATGCATAGCAATATGTACAATGCTATTCAATGAAAAATATGTAATTTCAGGTGTTGGTAGTAGATTACATACTTTGTAGCAGCGGTTGCAGTTGAGTTCACATAACTCTTTCAGTGCGATGTCAGTTGAGATAATGGCTTTAACATTACATTATTTCCACAATTCTAAGCTTAATTAAAATAAACCAAACACGATGGGCAACATCCAATGATGTTCACCTCCTTGTGCAATGGAAATCCACTTGTGCAACTGAACTTCCTGCTTCTCTTTTCACCCTCTAGCCCCCTTGTGCACCCCAGAGAAGATTTTGGGGGCACACAGGAGGCTACAGGGAGAGGAGAGGAAGGAGGAACCTCAGTGCATGAAGATCTCACCCTATGTACACAAAGGCACAGAATTCCTTCAAGTTAGCTGTGTTACAGTACAATGGAAGTTATTTAGTACGTTCCTTACAGACCATTTTCCTAGCATAACATATCATTAGACCACAACCTTGATTCCAAGAAGATAATTATATATCAGTATTGTTCTAAAATCTTGGGACTATATTAGAAATGTATATTTTAAAACAAGGCTGAATCAAAAATGATTTCCTAGAAAGGCGCTTAATGAAAAACCCACTATACTTTTAAATACATCTTCTGCTTGAAGAATACAACAGCCACCTTCCAAATGAAAGAAAAAGTGAGGTTTTATTTAATACCATAAATTAAGAAGTCTCTTGGCGTGCTTGCAACAGATACGTAAATGAAATGCCTCCAGAAAGGCTGCTTGCAATAGCCTCAGAAAGGTTAGAAACCTGAATGAAAAATGGAGTGTTGGTGCTTTTTGGAGAAAAAGCTAATTGTACCCAATCCAAATTTAGATCATATGTAACGGTTGCTCCTGTTTACAGCAGAATCCAATTTGGTCAAATGTATACACATTTTGCATTGTTTGCATGTTGTGATGTTCTGTCTCAACTGATTCCAACTAATTGTTCCAACTGCTTCTAGAATTCATTGTCACCAAAGATGGCTCGGGCAAGATCTTGCAAAGGAATTTGGTTTTTATTGACACTGGTCTTGCACATTCATGTGCATGCCAGCACTGGAGCAATTGCAGAAGGCAGGCTGCTCGTCACCATGGGGTTAATCTACTCCCAGGGCTTTGAGCTGCCGCTCAATCTCTTCATCAGAAATTGTGGCACTTTGGGATGCTGATGCAGATGGCATGCCTCTGGCAGCTGAAGGAGCCTTGGCCATCTATTAGAAAGAAAAATGAGGAAAAGTTACATTTAGGCAAGCAAGATGAGACACAGTAATCAAAATGATAGAACACAGAGACAAAAAGGAAGGCACTACAAAAGTCAATAAAAATGTAAGGGCAGGGGCAGATTACTTTTCAAGAGCAATGGGAGATAATTTCTTCATACCTTTCCAGATATTTCAATACCAATTTCATCCAGGACTTGGTTCACAATATCCTGACTTTCCTGTTCTTCATCAGAATCATTGAAAATATCATCCAGGGTATCGTTGACTTAAAGATAAATGAAAACAAAAGCTTCATTAGAACTGTAATAGTATAATTGCTACCTTGGTCTTTCATACCACTTTTACATCCCAGCACACATTAACAGCTTTATTTTGAAGAAAAGTGAAATAAAATAATGTAAGCAATAATATATGTGGGTTTATACTGTTATAAGTGTAAAGAGGACCCCTGACCATTAGGTCCAGTCATGACCGACTCTGGGGTTGCGGCGCTCATCTTGCTTTACTGGCCGCTTCTGGCAAACCAGAGCAGTGCACAGAAACGCTGTTTACCTTCCTGCCGGAGCGGTACCTATTTATTTACTTGCACTTTGACGTGCTTTCGAACTGCTAGGTTGGCAGGAGCAGGGACCGAGCAATGGGAGCTCACCCTGTTTAAAAGTGATTTTGGCCCTCAAGGCAGCTTACAACTTTAAACATATACAATACAAAAACAGAGTCAAAAAGCAAATCCATTAGGGGGGAGAATTGATAATTTTACAACGCTAGCTCTGAAAGCCAATGTGCTTTTAGTTAGGGATTTAATGCTCGTTTGACCATGAATGCTCCCAAAATAAGCCAAGCTATTTCCCCCAAAGTCAAAAAATAGCTTGGCTATTCGTGACAATTTCACTAATGTTCCCTATTCTCCTGCAACCCACCAAGCTCCCTTCCATCCCACCAACCCTTCACCTGCCCTAGCACTAGTAATAAAACCATCTGTGTACTGTCAGGAATAATGGAAGTTAACAGGCCTCCACAATCCTTGGCTTGTTTCCCAATATTTAGCATCACCAGCAGACACCCTAGTCAGCAAATCAGGACATCAAAGCCATGATCTGAACCTGATTTCTTTTTAACAATCATAGCTTGAACCAGCCACTGTTTCCAGATCTTGATGAACTTCTAAAGTAAAAGCACAGCCTTCTATTGTAAGTGAAGATATCATGAAGAGGGAAGAATGAAAGCATAAGCTTGTGTAGGTTAAACCATGGGTTTGAATTGAATCCGAATCAAACATTTAAAAAAATCTCTATACTGGCAGATAAGCACTTACGAGGGGGCACAATAGACTTGCATCAGCATGCCATCACTAGTATGCACATTGTACTCAGTTAGGCATCCAGTTAAGACAGTGTCATGGTGCAACAAGATATGGCTTTGTTATGGTGCTGGGAATAGCAGCCATTGCTAGTGCAGCGTAGCAACTTCACACAGTGTTATTCTAACATAAAGGTGGGGCGAAAACAACCCAAGAATTGTCAGTTTCCCCATTCCATTATCCTCAAAGGATTTTGGCTTCCAGAGAATCAGCCATGTGAAAAACCAAGTTACCTATTTTACATATGGTGGACATCTACATTATGATATTGGATCAGGCAGAGCACAGCTGGAAAGATTTACCTCACACAAGACTATGGAATAGTTTGTGGAAAGCAGCTCTTTGTGCTATTAAAGCAGTTTCATTTTTAAGGTTGCAGTTTTGATAGCATAACTGGGACAACATCCCCCATGATGTATGTATATTCTGCACCTAGTGGTTCACTTTTTAAGTGTGGAATTCCACTTAAAAAGCAGCACTGGTTAATGCTTCAGCAATGTAATGCGTCATATGTCCTGAAATCTGAATGGGCTGAGCAGGCCAAGGCTTTAGCGTTCCACATGGCTCTTCCCATGACATTAACATTGCCCCTCTATTTCTGGCCATCCATTTTCATGTTTCCTTGCCTCTATTCTCTATGTAGCCCATACCGAAGTAATACGGAAGGCTATGAAAATGGATGTTCCTGCAATTAATAATTTCAACAAATGTAGGTTAAACACAAGCTCATGAACCAATTATTATCTTGATTTGGTGGTCTTGCCAACCCAAAAAGGAAGCAGGGAACAGTTTTAATCATTGTATGAAAAAGCATAACTTACTCATTTCTTCAGTCATTTCCATTTTCATGTTTTCTTTCTGGAAGTTCTGCATAGTTTGCAATGTCTTTTGTGGATCCATCTTTTTATTAACAGCTTGCATTGTCTAGCAATAAACAACAACCTTTATGAATAAATGTGGCCAACGTACAGTACAGTAAAACTGCTGAAAATGTCATAATATTTGAATACTTTTAAGGTGTTAGAAGAAAATAAACTCCAAGGAATACAAGTTCCCATGTAACGTGGGGTATACAACAAAACCTTTAGTCTTTGCACATCTAGAACTATCAGAAAAAGAGTAGAATGCACTATTGCGTAGCAGTCAGTTCTTCTGTAAATCCATCTGATGTATCAATTTTCCAAAATCTAATCTGCTGGTGGGTCTTCCTGATATTGACCTGGTTTGGATGTAATACTAAATTATAATTTAGCATTACATTAACAACATCTCAGCTGGTGTTTTTCTCCCTCCAGTGCTGCCTTCATTTGTTTTCAATTAACTGCAGGTCAGTGTCAAATCCAAATCCTAAACCCTGCTTAATATTAATTATGGTTTTATTGGAACAATCATACACCTTGATTTAGAATTGGCTTGTTTCTGTGAGCTATAGTTAAGACCATCAACAGTTTGTTTAAAATGGAAGTGAAAGCTTCTATCATGGCTGTGCCAGATAAGGGAAGGAGGGTGGCATGGGATGAATCACGTTGTTCATGTAACTCTAAGGTATTGTTTAGCATTATGGCTGAACACAGCTATTGTGAGAAGGAAGAACCCTGTATGACTGGCGTAAAACCTCTACTCTTATGCCTACACATCTTACAATTTAGAAAACCTCTTCCTGGCCCTATGAAACTTTATCCGTCATCAAGCATGTAGTAAACCACTTGCCTCACATGAAGCTGACTTATATCAAGTCAGGCCATTAGTGTGTCTACCCCAGTGCTGCCTATTTTGACTAGCAGTCAGGTAGTGGATCAGGAACAGCAACAAAACATGTTTTTGTTCCCAGCCTACCACAGGGTCACCCACTGCCCATCAATTCCTCTCCTGCTGCTCCAATGACTCACTGTGAGGAAGGGTTTTCAACTTTAGACAGCGTCTGCTGCTGCAGCTAAGCAGCCGATGGCTTTCCTCTGGAGCTCTCTTGAGGTCATTTTGCCTCAAAATCTCAAAAGCGCTTAAAGAAAGGGTAGGAGGAGGAAGATGTGGCAGTGATTAGCATTTACTGAGCTGCCTCAGGAGGTTTAATGCCGGTCAGCCCATACTGCTAACTGACATTGGTTCTCTAGTGTTGTTGGCAATAGGTTTTAATCAGCACTGCCAACTTTTAACTGGAAATGTTGCAGATGAAACATAGCATCGTCCGCATGCAAGGAATACATACTACCAGAAAGCTATGTCCCCTCTCTGCGTATGAACTGGTTGGAATGCTTTTATAAACTGGAAGAAAGGGGTTCCACCAGTCCTTTAATACCACTTCACATGCCCCAGAATCAATTGGTAAAATTTTGAATTGTACAACAAACTGTATAACTTCAGAATGTGAGTGGAGGATAACTTTTTTCTTTCCCCCCACATATGCCCTAAACTATCTGTAAGCGTATCAGGTAGAAACCATCAATTCCAGCCCGCTTCCTACTGTGCTAGGTTTTCAGCTGCAGAGTTTTGTTTTGGTTTTTAATGCAGTAGAGCATTCAAAAGCCACTTAGACCCAGTGATGAAAGCCAATAAACTGAAGCTCAATTGTGATAAGGAGGTATTGAAGGTGGATAGTTTGGGTCTAGTCTGGGTCGATGATGTACAAAATAGTTACAGACTTATTTGCAAGGTTGCCCTTCTCTACATGCTATTATGATACCCTCCTTTAATCATACATTCACAAAATTCTTCTAAGATTATTTGACAGCACAGAGAAATCAGAGTTTGAGGTAGAGTTTTCATTTTAAAGTAGTGTAACAGAACATAATGGCTATGCATTTCTACCAGGAGCTGTGGAGATACTATGCTGGCACTGTTTCAAACAAGAGATGATTACATGAATGAGGTTTCTGTCTTTATAAAAAGGAGCCAAGGCATCAGAATCCAGTAGACTCTAACTGGTGAGTTTGCTGACATTCTGCTTCGTCCTATTGGATCAGTTATAGGCCAATGAGAGGACACAATTCTACTCAAATTGAAATGATTGGCTATGGGGTGGGTGGGCTCTGACTGGAGCGAATAAAAGGCCAGGCTCTAGTCAGTGAGACAGCAGACTAGGCTAGGCTCTGACTGTTGGTCAGTTGATGGAAGAGCTGAAAGTTGAGGTCAGACAGGGCATATCAAGGGGCTTAAGAAGCCAAAGAGAAGCCAGGAGCTAATGCCACTAATCTAGACCTGATGTTAGGTTTGTGGAGAAGGGCATGTGACTCTAGCAGTAGCCTTCAGGGGAGTTCAGCTGTCAAGCATCAGTAGGATTGCTGAGAACTTGAGGTGACAGGGATTGATGGACTCTGGCAGAAGTCCTGAGAGAAGACTGAAGAGTCAACTTAGAGGAAGAACTCAAGGACCTGACCGAAGAGTGCAAGTATAGACCTCAGTCCCTAGTTCCTAAGTGTTAACTGATAGAGACTATTATAGTGAAATGGATTTAGGTTTGGATTTGGGGTGGTGTGGGGATGGGACTGAAGTTTGCATAGCTTTCCTTTTAAAAGTGGCAGGAATCCTACTGTGTTTGATACATAATTTTGAGTGACTAAAAACTAACAGTGTATACATTTTTAAGGTAACAGTAACAAAGTAAAGTTAATCACCTAGTTTAAGTACGTAGGGGTGAATATATACATGCTTATTAATGTAACAGTTTTAAGTAAGATATACTATACTTTGTTTTTACTTTATATTTTGAGCTCTGTGATGTTTTGCCCTATACTTAACCATAGCTATTGTTGGGTAAACCGAAGAAAATAAATGGTATTCATAATAAAGGATTAAGGATTAAGAAAAATGAAATATAAGTCACAGCAAAGAAGTGTGAGATGTGCTTTTTTCTAAAAAAAAATGTTTAGGGGTACTCTCATTTTCTTACTCATATTGAAATACTGCCCCTCAGTGAGGCCAAACTTAGATTCACAAAATGTTCAGGAGTATGCATACCCCTGCGTCCCCCCCAGAAAAAAGCACTGCAGATGATGATAATAAAGGTTTTGCCACAGACATCCTTACTCCTAAATTGTCACTTGAACTTAAAATATTGTGCCAAAAATGAAAAATTAACTGTTTATTTGTACTTTTAGTAATATTTTTCTGTAAGTTCATAACTACATAAATATCTAAGATACCAAAATATACAAAAAAGAGAAATTTACCTTCTATTTGAAGTTCTAAATTGCTTCCAAATTCCTTTAGAAGCAGCAGAAGGACCATTGCTTAGTCACAAATTTTCACTAAGTGATTTCACATACAAGTCGCTCTCTCACTAGAATATCAGGCTGTAATCACAATGTGAATTTGCAAAGCTAAAATGAAACATCCCTGTGTACTCTGCCCTAATTCCTCATATGAGCTATGGGATGCATATGTGCCAATATTCTGCACGAGTCTGTGAATCCATATAAATACAAACAAGCAATTTAGAGACTGACAGCTCAGCTGGGGGAGCAAAAGCTCTTGGATCAGCATGAGTCAAAACAGAACATCCGTAAGCTTAGTCATCCACTTTACTACTCATAACACTGCTTCCATACATACACAACTCAATATAGCACTACAGTGTGCTTACCCAGCTGCAAAATGACAGTGAGGGATTGGGTCAGGATAGGAGCCACAGGCAAAAGACTCCCTAAACATTTAATTTACATGGTAGTACAAATGCCTTCAGCGTGTCACATATTGACCTTTTTTCTTTTGTGAGGTATTTGCCAGCTAATCAGTTTAGCTTCTTTAGACATGCATACTCTATAAAAGCCTTGACTATTTTCATCATAAATTGCAGACTACAGTGGTACCTCTAGTTATGAACTTTATTCGTTCAGGAGGTCCGTTCTTAACCTGAAACTGTTCTTAACTAGAGGCGTGCTTTCGCTAATGGGGCCTCTTGCTGCCACTGCACCACCGGCACACGATTGCCATTCCCATCCTGGGGCAAAGTTCTCAGCTTGAGGTAACTCTTCCAGGTTAGCGGAGTTTGTAACCTGAGGCGTTTGTAACTCAAAGTACCACTGTACTTTATTGTCAGATTTTTGCAGAGTACTTGTTGTAACTCAACCTGGGACCTGCTGATGAAGGGCAGGTAGTAGGCCTGGGTGATATATCAATATATCACCCAGGACCAGTATGAGGAGCAGACCGTGATGTCGGCTTCACTCAGAAGTATATTACTGGTGAAAATGCTGCTATGTTTTAGACATCACAATAGATTGTGGTTTATCTCAACAGGAACAATCCTAGGCTGACATGAACCCCCCTCAAGTGAAGCTACAAGACAGAATTTAGAAGCTTTCACACACACCCCATTTAACTGCAACTTGTTGTTGTCGAAACCCAGCAAATTGTGGTTAATCTTACATAGTTTGTTTAAAACAAGACAACTCTGACCAGGGTTTATGACCTTGGCTTGCTTCAACAAGCCATAGCTGAGATTAAATTTCAGAGGATAATGCTAAACTGCAGGTAATTAAAAACATAAGTGAAAGTTTCTCATCTCCCACTTACTGCAGTGCCAGAGGAGGGGGAAATGCACAAGCCTAGATTTGTTCCCATCATGATAAACCACAGCTGAAACACAGATTTCTGTAAATTAAAACCAGAATCCTATGAACAATATTTGGGATACTTGTTTGATTGCTTACCTTTGCTGTTGTTGACATTGCTCCTGCCATTTTCATCTGTGAGTTCATCAGTTTTGTTTGTGTTGACATGGATGTAACTTTTGAACTAACAGCATAGGTTCGAGTTTTCTGTTTTCGCAGTTGCACAAGCTGTTTTGCTAGAACCTTACAGGCTTCTTTGTTTCCAGTTTTAGCCATTTTCTTTATTTCCAATTCCTATTTATTAAAATGAAAACTTTTTTTTTAGTTTGTATTCACTTTTTATCTTCCAGCATAAATACTACGATAGTTTAATGAGTAAAAGGTGATTTTTTCCAAATAAATTCCTATTAGACATGCAAGAAAGCTATCTAAAGAAAAAAATACAATGTTTCCAAAATTAAAAGCTAGGAGTACAGGCGGAAAATGGTGTTAAGGAAATGGACAAGCTATCATTTACCATAACCAGTTTGGGCACTGATTGTGAAAGATGAACTAAGATTCTCCAGTTACTTACCAGTTGCTTTTCCTGTCTCTCCAAAGCTACTCGATCTCTTACTATTGCCCTCTGCGTGCCTCTTAGCTCCTTATTTTGTTCTTTAATTATATCTAAGAAACAAAATATTTACAGTTAGTATAATAGATAAGGAAGTATGGTGAAGACATGCATGGTGAAAACATAAGTTTTAGGTGAAAGGTGTTTCATTCCTAATAGCAGTATCACTGATGTCTCAAAAATAGACTACTGGAATAACTAGAAAACAGACTACTAGAATAGTGTGAGGGATGGAGGCCCAGAAGACTGCATTCTCTGTGGCAGTCCCTCATTTGTGCAACTCTCACTTCACAGAAGTGCATCTAGCATTTTCATTGTACTGCTTATGCTGAACCTTTGAATGCAACCTCTTTACCCTAGCCTTTTGACAATTAAGGTATTTCGTTTAGTGGGACCCACCTCTTTTATTCAGTTTCTGGTGTTTGTTCCATTTGGAATAGTTGTACTTGTTTTATAATTGTATATTACCTGGGACCTTACTGTAAAGGGCAGATAAGATAATACAGTGGTACCTCTGGATGCAAATGGGATCCGTTTTGGAGCCCCTTTCACATCCAGATGTGAATGCAACCCACGTCTGCGGGTCGCGATTGACCGCTTTCGCGCATGCGCGTGACGTCATTTTGATCGTCTGCACATGCGCGAGCGGCGAAACCCAGAAGTAACACGCTGCGCTACTTCCAGGTCGCCGCAGCGTGCCACCTGAAAATACTTATCCCGAAGCTACTTCAACCCAAGGTATGACTGTACTTGATAGAAATACTATAGTCTTCAGTTGCAGGTAACCAATTACATATGGGGAACAGAATCATATGCTGTCCTGACTCCACAACCTACTTGTGTCCATTTGAAGGCCTGCACAGACAATATGTGTTTAAAATCCTCCTAAAAGGGTTGTTTCACATGATTGGGTATCCTGCTTTTTTAGGGTCTCAGTCAGAAGGAGAGTGTTATACACACACAGCTGCTATGCAGGCCTTCCATTTAATGCACATGGGTCATTGGGTCACCTGAGACTGAAGTTGTGAATATGACTCAAACATGAATGCCCCATCTTTATTTTATAAAGACTGAAAAAAGCTTACAATGTTTTCACCACAAAATGCATAAAACCACAATAAAACCAATTCATTCTCCCTGTGGATAATTAATATGAAAGCATTCACCAAAGAAACAGGGAGATAAAACTTAACCCACACGAAAAGCTTGGCAAAGTTAAAAAGGGCTTAGCAGTTTGATTTCTGTGAACACACAAACTCCAAATGATATCACACATTTTCTGTACACGTAATTTAAAAAAACAGCCATACTGTTTTGAATCCACAGGAAAGCAGAGGCTTCCTCTGGATCCAACCCTGAGGAATTTTATATTTGAATTATGTATGCCTTGGAGGAAAGGCACCTTTGGATTCAACCTACTACGTTACTATTTTGACACTATCATTATTGCTTGAACATAAATTCATACTGTTGGTATTATTTGTTATCTCCATTATTGCATTTTTTCCTATTTCAAAGATGTTCACTGTACATATAATCATAGCCAGATACATTATTAAATAAGTTATATATCAACTTAAGAAAACTGCTACTGTCTCAATGCAGTATAAATAGACTAGAGATAAACCCATCTTCTGTGCCCAAGTATCAGCACTTGATTGTTCTCATTTTTCTATCCTTCTGATGTTATAGAAAGTGTGCTTTCCACATCACAATTTTTTGGGGGAAAATTTCCCTTTAATTTCCCTATCAAAGAAATTGTAACACACCATAAACAAAATACCACCTGCAGCACAAATATTTTCTAGCCTTTTAATAAACCAGCACTTTCTTCCACATAGAAAGAGTGCAAGAATCTGAACCTTATGGAATCATAACATTCAAGCTTTCAGTGGCCTACTTTGTAAGTATATATATTGGTATTGAAATACTATTTGCAAACAGAGTTGGAATTCTCATTTCGATAAGAGGGTTGTTCCCTTAGCTATAAATTGAGAAGTTGTGTTTTATCAGATGAGAATACTTGTAATGACTTTCTAAAAGTCTTTTTAGACCACAAAGATATGACACTTTGCAGGCTGGGAGTGTTTATCCTCTTTTACTCAAAGAGAAGCAAGTGACATTCCCATGAACTAGTGGCTATGGCTTCTAGAGGGGAATGAAGTTTTTAAATTATTGGACTGCCAGTCAAGGATTACATTTATCTATTTCTTCATAATAAAAAAGTATGTTTTGTGGGGGGTTTTATGCCTGAGGCCATTTCAAAGTAGCACACAATAAAGTCAAAATAATTTATTTGGAGTTGTTCAGAAGAGAGTCAACCCCCCACCCCCGCGCTTTTACAAAGATGACTTGTCTTATTCTATTAAAAATCCCATTTCTTTTGAAAATGAAGCATCCCCAAAAGTAAGTTTCCATCTTGCTTTCACAATCTAAAAAAACCATCTAACAATAATGATAGGATTTTGTTGCTGTTGCTTCCCACAATACAGACTGTCAAAAATGAATAAAGCATGAACTGCAGCCATAGATTTATTTTACATTAATCCTTTCTTCAAAGACTCTTCTTTCCTAGATACAGTTCCAAGACATGATTTCAGCATTAAGAAGTCCTGGCAGGAAACATTTTCATATATGTTGAGGCATCTATACTGCCCTTATTAACTTATACACAATTAGTCTCATGTAAGTACTAAATACAATGGAATGATTATCATAGGGAAAAATCAAGAGTGTTGCATGAAGAAGTTTGTACAGTGATACCTTGGTTTATGAACTTAATCTGTTCTGGAAGTCTGTTCTTAAACCAAGGCATGCTTTCCCATAGCAGTGGGGGACTCAATTTACAAATGGAACACACTCAAAAGGAAGCAGATCATGTTCTGCTTCCAAGGCAAAGTTCACAAACCAAAACACCTACTTCTGGGTTTGCAGCGTTCTTAATCCAAGTTGTTCATAAACTAAGCTGTTCTTAAACCAAGGTACCACTGTACTGTACAATTGGGCTTGATTTGGATTGAAATTCATACTTAAGAGTCAAAATTATGGGAACATGAGAAGTCTCAGTTGACAACTCTAAGAATTACCCTGAACTTGGGTTTGTTTGTTTTTGGGTTTTTTTGGTTTTGTTTTGTTTTGGATAAGAGAATGTGATCTGGGTACTGGGGGTTGTCAAAAAACATTTTAAGTTTTAGATTTGCAGGACTCCTGATGCAGGTATGGGGGTGTTGTGTTACAGAAGATCTTCCTTCAAAACAAAATGGGCTCAAATAGTTTCCTGACTGCCCTGGGAAAGTTTTCTGTTGCTCCAGTCAGTGATCCTGTTGAATAACTGGGCAATATTGGGATAGGGAACTAATCAAGTGGATAGTATTCTGAACCAGCACCAGGAATCAGCAGCAGGTGATGAGGGGTAACAAACTGAGGCTCAAACCAGACAAAACAAATGTACTCTTGGTGGGGGAAGGGGTGGGGGGAGAGATAAAAATCTGGAATAGGGATTAAATGAAGTTTACAGGTTGGGACTATTCTAGATGCAGCTTTACATCTAGATGACCTCGTGGTAACGATGGCCAGATGAAAGTCAATCCTAATGAATGGGTCTACAAAATGGCTGTCACACAAAAACACTAAATGTGTTTACACCGACAAAACTTTTCATTCAATATCCCGTGATAATGCAAAAATTTAAGTTCCTTGTTATTTACTCAAAAGCACCTCTTCACAGATCAGAGGTAAGGAGGTGGCACCTATCTGCTTACATCAGACAGTAAATCTAGTGCCCTCTAGATGCCCATTATCCCTATTAAACATGTTGGCTTGGGATAACTGGAGTTGTAGTTCAACATTTGGAAGACACTATGCTGGCTAACTCTGATTAAACAAAAGGATACCAGAGACAGAGCAGCTTCCAGGGTATAAATACTGAGAGTCTGAAACTATATATTTACTTCTGAATTTGTCAAAGAATGCCAACTTTCCAATCCTTATGACCATGCACTCACACTTACAAGTTTTTGTCTCAGCTTATACTTTTTATGTTTTCTTCCTTAAAGGTTGAACCTTGAGGTTTCAGGTAGGAACCTCTACCACAAGTAGGAAGCTGACTTACGCTATTATTGGTATCTAGCTCAGTGCTATCTGCACTGTCTAACAGTAGCTCTCCATGGTCTCTCCCAGGCCTACTTGGAGATGTAGGGATTGAACAAGATCTTTGAATGCAAGGGTTGCTATCTACCCAAGCCATGGCCCTTCCCATGAGCCCTGCTCTTTACAATGAACTCCCCACTGAGAACCATAGTGCTACACCTCATTGGCCTTCCAGAAGTGGAGCAGAACATATATCTTCCATTGAGTCCAGTTCAATTGTTCAGCTTTAATCACTACTGTTTTTCTGCTTTTAATGGGGTGGTTTATTTGGGGCAGGGTGTTTTGTTTGTTACTGCACTCGGCTATGACCACAACAAAGGCAGAAAATAAATTATTTCAATTAATAAATATGGAATAGCTTTACTACCAGATATATTCACCACACATGAAAATAAGTGACAGAAAAGACATTATACCACATTTGTAGTAATAGATTATCAAGTGGTCGTGTGATAGAAAACCAAACCATATGGTAACCTCGTTATCTATTCACCCTATAGCAGTCCTGTGTGACAAAAGGCTTCACAAAAGAAGCAACTCCTTCAAATTTATATCAGTGTAAAGCTGAGAAAGCCAGCTGTGCCATCAAATTTTGTACTCAAACTCTTTACCAGGCAAGTTATAGAAAATACTAAATTTATGTTTGATGCACTGCAATTACTGAGTAGTAATACAGTGAGGCAGCAAAGCTGGCAGGACTGGGGATAAAAATTTTATATCTCACTAGACTACTCAGTGCCTTCAAGAGCTAATGACTGTGAGAGTTCTGAGTGCTGGGAGTCGTTCATCTTATCTGCTCAGAGATGTACAAACAGGAGGAACAGGAGAGGACTCTGAAGAATATATGCCCTCCTCCCAGCCATCAACACCTTTCAGGGAAGAACCAGAAGCCACATGACCATTACCTGGTATTTCAGATTTGTCATTGGGGTAGCACTATCATCCAACTATAGGTCTAATTTTAATATTGTGAACCACTTTGATAACCATTATGGTTGTAAAACAATATACATATAAGATAAATAAAAATGTCACCTTTTCTTGAGAACCCAGTTCTAAAGAAAATGAGTGTCCATGTTTTGACTCATGAATGGATGACATAGCCAACAGTAAAATACAGAGGTGGGAGATACGTAATAGTGCATGACACATACAGAAAATTCACTTAGCAGCAATGATCACACAACATTATGCTGCAATAGTCACAAAATATGCTCTTTCCCTCCCAAATATGCCAAATGCTTCAATGTAATTCAAAGCATTCCTTTGAAGTGTCTTTCTCTAAACCAAGGAAGACTTAACTCATACTTCTTTAGAAATCAGCAGTAGGTGGAATTTTTGTCTACACACACCACACAAATATAATCCCTAGGAAATATTGAAGGAACACTTTTTAATATCAACCAGTACTGCAGCAATAGTAATAAAGGGCATCATTTTGAAGAGGACACTAAGAGCTTTTGTTACATCAAGGAAACAGCTCTCTGGCAACACTGAAGAACCCTGGCAGTTCCTGATAGGAAAGAATGCTCTTGTTTTAATAAAACAATGCATCTTGTTTCCTTGGGGTTTTTTTAGGGCTATTGAAATTGATACAGATAATACAGATAATTATTTATTTTTATTACATTCCTATACTGCCCTTCATCCAAGGGTCACAGGGCAGAATAAAAACACAAAAATACATAACAGAGTAACCAACAAAAACAATAATCCGACACAAAGTATTTATTTACTAAATAAATAGGTGGCTACATGTAGTCATCTATTGTAACAATTTCTCAAAATTACTGCAAAAAAACCCCGTTCTTAAGAACCTTGCCCTACTTCTAAGGCATTCTCTGCAGTAGCTCTTTCTCCATTTGAGCAGTGCAATCTCCACTGTGTGTTCAACATGGCTTACTCCCAGGTAAGCGTGCATGTGCTCACAGCCACAATCCCTCAATAACCTGGTGCTGGCAGTTCCACAAGGTGTTTTTGTGTGTGCTGTGCTTATTAACATTGTACGCAACACTTCCACACATGATCAGGAGATGAGTCATGCATGTTCTCTCTCTCCCTCTCTCTCTCAATGCACAAACAACCACCACTGCCACCCAACAACACACACGGATTGTGCCCAAGCCTACATTCTGAGCTGCATCATTATTTCTTATTTGTATTATTAAAATTCAAGCCTGATGGTCCATTTAAGGCAAAGGGCAAAGAACGCAGCGCAGGAGGCACCACGACAGCTATAGGGCAATCAGAAAGGAGAGGGAGGAAGACTTCTATGGGGGGAGGCGAAGTCATATTCTAGGGGCAAACTAGGCTGGATCTCCTCAGCTCAGGGGCGAAGCGAGGAGCCCACAGGGGCGAGCACTCCCTGAAGTATCGGGAAATACCTCTCCAAAGGGGCGGGGGGAGCCTTGGGGCGAAGGGAAATCCCCCCCCCCGTTTGCTAGGGTGCGGTGTCGTCAGAGGGCGAATAGGGGGGAGGGCTCCCCACCCCCAAGGAAGGAAAAAGGACCCCCCCGCCCCACCACAGCACGAGATTTCCTTCGCCCGTCACTCACCGTCCACCGTCTTCTTCTTGAAGAGCGACGCCATGGCGGCGGCGGCGGCCCAGGAACCGAGGCAGGAGAGCGGGGCCACCGGGGCTCCTTCCTGCTCCTCAGGTGACCGACCAGGAAGCGGAGGCTGCCGCTGTTGCTGCCGCAAGCTCAGAGACGAGCAGGAGAAAAGCCCGCCTCCCGCCTTCGGGAAGAGGCTGAGGCCGTAGCAACAGCGGCGCCCAGTGCCGCCACTGGCGCGGAGGGCGGGGCTTGCCGTGAGGGGAGGGGCTAGAGGAGGCCGTCCCTCTCGCGAGCGGAGTCGGCTCCGCGGCCGGCCGGGCAGGAGGGGGGCGGGGGGGGGATGAGCGGCGGTTTCTCACGTGACAGCGCGCGAGCGGTAAGGGGGCAGGAACGGTTGGTAGCCGCTGCCATGACACGACCTAGTTGAAGGGGGGAGGGGTTTTTTTCGAAGGTGGTGGCACGTCCTGAGGGTGGGAGGACGTTTGTTTTATTAACTTATTATCCATTTATCTATGTACCGTCTTTCCCCTCACGCAGCAGGGTAGGGTTGTGCTTGGGTTTTTTTGGGGGGGGGGGCGCGAAGGTGAGCGGGTAGTAGTAAGCTCTACACAAACACACACACACGGGGAGGACGGGCGGATATACCTCACAGCGCTGCGCCTCACGACAACCTGTTTCCCAAAAGTGTCGCCGCTGAGGTGGCAAAGTGGCCAAGCGACAATCCCGGGTTTGAGGAAATGTAGCGCGCGAGCCTTCTCTCCCTTTCCGTCGAAGCATTTTGGAGGGTTATTTTGAAACAGATGCTTTATTCGAGCTTTACACCCACTTCCACCACCACCACCACCACCGATAGAAAATGGGCTGGAAAAAAGGCATTCAGGTCACGTGTAAATTCGGGTCGGTTAAATCTTCGTGTCAGAGGCAGCCACACAGCGGTGCTTCCCGACGCCTCGACACTTTGGGCGCATCTGCGTGGTCTGAGGGGGCACCAAAGGCTGCCTCGCTAAATCCGAAATGCAGGGCAGGCGCCATGCCGTGCAGTGGTTTTGGGTCGCTCTCAGCATGTGGGCTGTACCGCCTCTGTGTACAGCATGTGAGCGCCTGCGCTTCCGTGTGGAAAGTAGGGAAGAGGTCGGCGAGGGTTGTACTTGACCGCAGCCTGGGACTTGCCTGACTCCTGGAATGCCAGGGAGAGGCAGCTGAGTCTGCAGGTTGGAGATGCCCCCCCCCCCAAAGCAGGCCCCTAATAAGTCTTTTAAAGAATATTTTCAAATTGTAAGAAATAGCGACATTGTAAAGCACAACCTCTCACATCAGAGTTTTGTGTGTAATATGCAGATATTTCCGTAAGAAGCCACAAGGACACCTGGTACATGATTGCAAAGCCCTTCCTGATCATGTCAGTGTTAGGACACTGAGCACACCCAGTCTGGCTCTTGAGATTAGAGAAGTTTGTCATACGTGTCCTAATATAATGTCAGGCTCTCCGTTTGCTTAGAGAAGAATCTTACAGGGTAACATTTGGATATACAGGTTGTCAGGATTGAAGGAAATGATGTTCAGATCCCTTCCAGCCTTACAGTTCAGTGTGGCATGCTTCATAAAGCTGGCAGATGCTGTGCAAAATGCCAAACAGCTATTTGCAATTGCAGCAGTAGAGCTGTTCCAGTTTTGTGTGGTGTTCGTATTTCATATTGAATATGCTGTTTTGAATGAGCAAGATTACTTGTCTGGATTTTTAAAAATTGATGCTCATTTTGAACTTGCACAGTGTCTCCTATTAGGGAATACACTGCGGATGAGGAGAGGGACCTGCCAGCCCACCAGAGGAACCTGCCAGCTTGCCACTGAGGCTCTTGTCTGCTGCCTTCTGCCGCACTCCTTGCTCCACGAGTCTATACAATCAATACATTACACAACAAACCAATTGACATGACAAACCCAGTACAGCTAATAAACCAGTGTGCAGGGCACAAAATGATGGTATGCCAAAAAGCATGATCTCTGCATATTGAAAAAGGCAGTTTGGGGGGAAAGCAAAAGAAAAATTTAAAAGATGACAGCATAAATATTACATTTTTTCTTCTTGCTTAAATAAATGGTTTCTTAATAGGTAAAGAAAGTATGCAATACGTTATATGTAGTAACGGTAATTCACTAAACAAGATCCAGATCACTGCTGAAAGAGAATTATGTTTCATGCTATAATACTCGTTATAAATCTCACACAGAACTTTGCTGTTGTAATTTCCCATTGTAATCTCATTCAGTGATGTATACCATTTCCCCAAAAATGTCATGCAGTATAGTCTTGTTTACTTTTAAGCAGTATAGCATTGATTTTGTAAAAATAAAATAAAATCAAGTTTTAACAAAAAATAGTAATATTTAGTATTACTAATAGTAATTTAGCTGCCACATTCAAAATGTACTAAAGAATAAAAATAAATACTAATTGGTGCACAGAATGTCATAATTACCTTAAAAACTACAGATAGACTGTTAAGTAGGCATCAGTGGCTACATCTTTTTCATATTCTGTTATCTTGCTGCATTCTTAGTAAGAGTATGTTTCCGGCATTTTTGTTAGCCTGAGTGTCTCTTGTAGGAGAAAAGCTCTTTGTATCAGTGTTTTGTCTTCAGTGGAATTTAGAGAACAGACACTACTGCTCCATAGACTCCCATCTTCTGGCTGTTTTATCCATCAGTCCTATTTTTAAGTCTCTTTCTTACACATAAAGCTTGTAGATCCATGTAGCTGCAGCCAGGCACGATGAAGTGGCATACACTGAGGTAGCTACAATGATGAGACAAGTGGGGCAGGTCCTACTGCACATCACTTGCACTCCCATTAGAACCCTTCATTGCTGTCATGTCTCAGACACGTAGAGCTACTCTGTGCTGACTGAAGTGCCTTGAGCGCATCATAGGCTATATCTGCATTTTCATGGAATTGTAACATGACTCGAGTCCCAGAATGCAGCAAACTTCACATTCAAGTGAAAAATGAGTTGCTTGCTCGTAGTTCTGCACCATCTACATTCAGTGATGCCACTCACTGCATGAGGCAGTAGAGCAGTGGGTGGACAACTTTTATTCCCTGTGAAGTAAAAGTAATCCGTAAGGATTTGTGTGCTGGCAGTGGGACCCTCCTGGGCCTCCACCCCAGAAATGTCTGAGGGCAGTGGAATTTCCAAGAGGGTCTTCTGCCCAGAGCTTAACACCCATGAAATTTATAGGGAAGGAGGTGGTATTTCAGATATTTGGGGCTTGAGTCATTTATGGCTTTAAACATTACCATGGTCAATTTGAATTAGGCCTAGAAACAAACTGATTAACAATGCAGCTTTTTTGAAATAGGGTTTATGTGAGATCTCAGTGGAACCCCAGCCAGTATTCTGACTGCTGTATTTTGGACTACTTGACATTTCTGATCATAGGATTGTAGAGTTTGATCATAGAGCTGGAAGGGACCCAAGAGTTGTGTAGTCCAACCCTCTACTTAAAAACCTCCAGGGAAGGAGAGTACACAACCTCCCAAGGGAGACTCTTCCACTGTAGAACAGTTCTCACTATAGGGAGTCACCTACCACCACCACATGTCTATTCCTCCTCTGGGGAGTGACAGGAATTGTTCTATGCACTGTGCCTTCCAAAGCCTGCTTGGAGTGCTCTTAAGTTCTGCACCACCTGCTTTTTCCTTCCCCTCTTGTCTATTGGAGCTTATTTGGGTGTTGTTGGGATAGTTTACAAAGGCAGGAACCTTATGGTTTGAGTACAGTGGTACCTCTGGTTACGTACTTAATTCGTTCCGGAGGTCTGTTCTTAACCTGAAACTGTTCTTAACCTGAAGCACCACTTTAGCTTATGGGGGGCCTCCCGCTGCTGCCGCACGATTTCTTTTCTCATCCTGAAGCAAAGTTCTTAACCCGAGGTACTATTTCTGGGTTAGCGGAGTCTATAACCTGAAGTTTATGTAACCCGAGGTACCACTGCACTTCCTACTCCTTCCTCTCAGCTGGCCATCTCCAGGCTCTACTTCCCTTTCTCCAATCTCTCCATGGAAGGTAACAAGTGGGTTATTGGCATACACATCCACGATCAGTAGCCTTGGATCTGAAGGGGTTAGGTTAAGAATGGAAAATGACATGGTCTTCAATGTGGCTTACCATCTTCACAGTGTATAGGATTACTGGCTTAGAAATAAATCCTAAATTAAAAAAAAAACTTATGGTAAGAAATGTAATTTAATCCTTGTGTTTTGGGGGGAAATCCAGATGTGTAGATTCTTAATTGTGATGAATTACACTTTTTAAAAACACCAGGCTGTTCATATTCCATTTTCAGATTTGCAGGCATATGAACTTTCTTTCCAAATTACCTATTGGCAGGCAACTATTTCTTTCATCTCATGACATTAATATGCTTGTGCAGGTTTCCCTGCAGCTGTGTATCTTTATTCCAAGGTATTTTAAAGATAAACACATCATTTGAAGAAGTAAAAAAGCACATTATTTGAAGGACTGTAGATTTTATTTGTCAGAAATATGTTAGCTAGCTATTAGCAAAACAACAATAGCATTGAAAGAAATATGCTTCCATCATAGGTCCCCCCCCATTGGTTCATTTTTCATTATCTTGTACCTGTGATATAAGCATAAGCTATACCTATGCTTAAAAAGGTAAGGAAAAACTAAAAAGCAATTATTTCCACCATAAATTTCATCCATGTAGCTAAAGGAGAAGATTCTGTTGGTAGCAACCTGCCCCAACAAGCTGTCCTGTTCTCCAGTGATTACTGTTTCTTCATTATTTATGTCATTCGAAGGTCAGGGGTGGTTTACAACATACTTTTAAAAGTATTCAGAGTATCTCTGTTTAGAGGATATTGCAGTAGCAGCCTAATCTTAAAGCTATGAATGATGACTGCTAAGCATGCGGGGTGGGGGGGCTGGAATGATCAGGTGGGACACAAATAATGACAACACCAACAAAATTTGAACTGGGCATCTTCAAAAGACTAACTTAGAAGCTCAACATCAAAAAAAACCTAAGATCATGGCCATTAGTCCCATCACCTCCTGGCAAATAGAAGGGGAAGAAATGGAGGCAGTGACAGATTTTACTTTCTTGGGCTCCATGATCACTGCAGATGGTGACAGCAATCACAAAATTAAAAGACGCCTGCTTCTTGGGAGAAAAGTGATGACAAACCTAGACAGTATCTTAAAAAGCAGAGACATCACCTTGCCGACAAAGGTCTGTATAGTTAAAGCTATGGTTTTCCCATAGCTTTGGAAGTGAGAGCTGCACCATAAAGAAGGCTGATCACTGAAGAATTGATGCTTTTGAATTATGGTGCTGGAGGAGACTCTTGAGGGTCCCATGGACTGCAAGAAGATCAAACCTATCCATTCTGAAGGAAATCAGCCCTGAGTGCTCACTGGAAGGACAGATCCTGAAGGTGAGGCTCCATGGGGTCATGAAGAGTTGGACACGACTAAACAACAACAACAAACAACAAAATCTTCTGGGCCCAGAACACTATTTGCATTCAATCTTCTCAGTGGGGTGTGATCCTTGCCCACATGACAGCCACCTTGAGTTATCCCCTTCGGTGCTCTGGGCTCCCACTATAGTAATAATCTCCCTCCTTTCCACCCTTATGCCCCCCACACACACACTGTGTAGCAAACAAGGCATTTCATTTGGTCAGTGCTCTATAATCCAAAGAGGCCTTCTGCCTTGGTTGTAGCTGTCTGTCTTGCCTCCAAGAACAACTAGAAGTGTTTCTTGCCATCTTTCTTTTTAGTGCTGCACATCACTCCAGGTTAATCTTTGTACTGTGACTGATAAGTTGAAACAAAACACTCATCAGGGAAACACAATTGAATTCTATACCGGTGACTCAGAAAATGCAATAGATCTCTTTCACATTTAGTTAAACTTTTTTGCCCTTTGACAGGGATGGCAGGCAGAGAAATTGCTTTCTACAGGTTTTCTTCGGATGCTTTTTATGCCAAGAAAGAGAATGAAAAGGAAGCTCTAACAATACTTCTTACAGGCATTCTGGCTAGGCTTTTTCTGAAATTGTTTTTTAAGAAATTAGTTGATAAAATTGAATCATAGAATCAAGTACAGTATATCAAATAACTGCTCTTTCCTGATCTTCCGCAAAGACCAGAGTATGTACTGGAGAGCACAAATGTAACAGGATAGGAATTCATTTTCTTCATGTGCTTATAATCCACCATGCACACACAATTTGAATGTATGTCTCATTGAATATTTACATTGAAGAGAAGCAGCAAGCTATTAAAAGTGTTCTTGGTGTAACCTTTAAGCTACCTGCAAGTTTCTTTGGACCTATTTTTTAAGGCACTGCTGTTAGTCTTGAGCAAAATCTTCTGATTCTCACTGAACTGTGCAGCTGCAAGCTCCAGTGAAATAAATGGTGCCTGGCATGATGATGAGGTTGTTTGAGGCTTTCAGGCAAAGTCTAGCTTCATCAGCCAAGTATAGTAGGTAAATGACTGCATTTCTTAAGGGTGGTCATACAAACTACTGCTTATATTTTGAAGTCATTTAACTTGTAAACTCTGCATCTTTAAATGACTTTGCCCAAGGTTGAACAGATATCGGGGGTATCACCTAAAAAGCAAAGGCTTTTGGTACTTTATCATGAGCTTCAATATTTCCTTAAGGCATGAAGTTTAAAAAATATGAGAGAGATAGATTAGATGACGGTATTTATTATTGCAAACTGCACAGTCAACTGGGATTGCTGCTAAATGCTCTTACTATCATAATAGCCAATCTTATGTTAATTCTAGCCTGAAGCTTCTTGACTTTTTATGTGCGGAGATAATGGGGGGTAAAACTACAGCTTTTTTGGTTGTACAGCAAATTCTTTCCAACCATGTCAAATAAATTATACTGGCTTGCAAACTAAAAATGGTTTGGGCATTGGAGGAATTCCCAGCAATAATATGCAAAGGTTATTACCCTTGATAGTTAGAGGGTGTTATATTTTATAGTTGATGCTATTTGAATATTCCTTCATAGGATGCTAGCAAATCTACATTCCAACCTTGTACTCTAGCAAACTATAGGCGAATTCCTTCCTGATAGAATTCGTTTTAGTCCTTGTGCTATGTAGGTATGTCATGTTTTGTTCATGAACTCTGGCATGTTTAATATACACATGTGTATATACAGTTATTAATCTTGATCTTATGCGTTTCCTTTAGGTGGGTGATTATTTGCTATAAAATTATATAGCTCTATTAATGCCAAATCTTTTAATCTGCTTTGCCCTTCATTATCAAAATTGCCTCTAATTACTCCCTAAGCCAAACAAAATTTCAATAACACAATTATTTAAGTCCTGACTATTTAATTACCAGTAACCTGAACATATTAAACTGTAGAATAATTCTTAAAGAATTTGTGAAGTTAAATTAAATGCTTTCAGGAATTTTAAACAGCAGCCAGATCCCAACCACTAGAACTTCTAGGTACCATAGATTCCAGCGTATAAGATAACTTTTTAACCCCGAAAAAGAGGTTAAAAAGTCGGGGGTTGTCTTATACGCCGGGTATGGGCGGCGTGGAGCGGAGTCCGTCCACTGCTGCTTCCGAAGCAGCAGCAGCCGGCGGCGGGTTCTGCTCCACACTGGGTGGCTTTCTACCGGCGTGGAGCTGCCCAGCGTATTAGGCGACTGGGCTTATAAGACAAACCCCCAAATTGCAGCTGCCAATTTGGGGGGGGGGGTGTCGGCTAATACGCCCAGTCGCCTTATATGCCGGAATATATGTTAATTTTGTCTCCTTAATAAATTGCAAATAATAATAAATAAATAAATTATAGATATAGATATATCACTTAAGTAAAGCTGAGATCTACACTAATTGGAAAACTAATAAGTACTTTACAGAAATAAAATTCCTAGCAGGCTTAATACCTCGGCTTAAGTAATTAATTCGTTCCGGAGGTCCGTACTTAACCTGAAACTGTTCTTAACCTGAGGCACCACTTTAGCTAATGTGGCCTCCCACTGCCGTCGCACTGCCGGAGCATGATTTCTGTTCTCATCCTGAAGCAAAGTTCTTAATCTGAGGTACTATTTCTGGGTTAGTGGAGTCTGTAACCTGAAGCGTATGTAACCTGAGGTACCACTGTATTTAAAACATAGCAACCAGGATTGGGTTGTTGTTTCTGTTCTTTAATTTCTTTTGTTTCCCATGTAAGCTGATGCTCGTCATTTTTACAGCCTGTCAAGTGTACAAAAAAGCTTCCTGAAGTGCTAGTCTGACAATATTATATTCCATGTCTTCCCTGAAAACTTGATGCCTAAAGTCATGGAAGTCACTAAAATTACACTCCCACGGTATATGCAGTCAGAAAGCAGGATATATTTTAAGCTGGATTGGGCCCTAAAGTGTTATAAAAAATAGCTTTTCCTCATTTTTTTATCACTGCAAGTCCATGCAGGCAGAATCAAATTGTTTATGTGAAATCTATTGTTCATGCCTTGCAATATGGTTTCTCATTGGGCCCTTGAGTGTAGTTTACTTTTTGTAGTATCATGAAATATCTGTTAGTTTGGGCTTTTTAAAAAAATCCACCCTTCCTTTGTTCTCTAGTTTGAGTTCACCTATTTTAAAATTAAATTTAAGAACTGAAATAAAACTGGAACTGATTTACCTTTATCATCAGTTATGCTATAATGTTGTTTCTTAATTCCGTTTCTCTCATCTCTATATGTGTTGAAAATAAATGCATAAGTAAAATGTAAGAACTATGTTCCAATATTTCTACATATCAGTAAAATGGGATACTAATTTGTCCCTTCAGTTTTAATGAAACATTAGAAAGTATCAGGACAATTCAGATATTTTGCTTTGAAATCAATTGTATTTGTATTTTGTATTTTGACCTTTACAATTAATGAACATGCCTAAATTAGGTCCATTAATGTCAATACACCTACTCTAAGTAAAATTTAGAGTTGAATACCGTGCAGTATTGGGAATAACTACCATTGAGTAGAAGTGCATAAGATCCAGCTGCATGTCCTATTTATTTCATGGTACTTAAGTGTTCTTGCCTCTTTCAATGAGTTTTCAAATTGCTGATGGACTGTGGCCAAGGTCATATAATTTTAGGCCTTGCCCCAAGCACATTGCAAGTCATCCTCCAGTGAACTCCATATGTATTTTCACTGCTGATTGTAATACTGTGAGTCCTCCATCATAGGCTCAGGTTGCATATATGTGTAAATAAACCATATATTATAAAGACACTACAGTCTCTGCTGTGTTTCATTTCCAATGAAAGTGCCTGGAACCCCTGGAATCTGACAACCCTTGTGGAGATTTAGGTGGTGTTTGACAGTGTGTATGTTCATTTCTAATATATGCAGGAATTCCTGTTTCTGCTGATCTGTAGCTTATGGAATTGCGAATCATTATGGCTTCACATATTAGACTTCATGTTTAAGAAAAATGTTAACCAAGTCTGGTGCTGAGTTCATTCCCTGCTAACCACAGAGATAGCTTAAGGATGGATGCCATAATGGCACAACATTCACATTCTCTATTATAAGAGTCTGTGTAAATGTTTCAGTTGAATATGTAGGCTGCCTAATTAAGATTTTTGGTCATAATGTTTTCCATGGTTGTCTTAAAACACTAGTGGAACTGAACATTTCATTCACGTTTCTGCTGAGCGCAACATTTAACACAATAGTTCTCTTGTTGATAATTGCCTAATCAGCATCATTATAATTTGCTACGCTAGCAAAATCCCTGAAACTAGAGGTGGTTCAAAACAGTTAGTACTAGTTTTATTGTGGCTGATTCCCATGTTCATTCTCATCCATTCTCTTATATTAAGGGGTGGGGGATAAATGACAAGATGTTCATATATAGTTGCTGTTTAGGTCTTTCCAAATGATAGAATACAAAATTTTATCTTTAGTGGTGTATTTGCATAGGCATAATTCCAGTGCATCTA